TCCTGAAATCAGAGAACCCCAGTAATTTCAATAATTAAGACCACTGTTACCTGACTGAGAATGCTAATACTGAACTCAAATGCTGGAGTGACTTCTAATTGCAGCTCCATCTGACAAGAAGAAAAATGCCAATCTTGGCTTTCCAGTGTGAACCAACTGAGGAACAAGGATTGGATTTCCACCCAAACTTTGCTTTGCAAAGCAGTATACTCCTGAGTGGCCAATGCCATGGGCTCTTGGAAAGTCAACGTTGTATTATTGCTATAGTGCTGGAGAAAACCCCAACTCCCCAAGTTAGAGACAGAGAACACCCACATTATTTTTCTCCTCACCTCATTGTTTTCTCCCAGCTATATGCTCCCCTTTTCCACCTGTCTACCGATTTTTTTTTTGGTGTAGTTAGAGGGAAACAATAAGATGAATATTTTGACCTGGGGACTATGGGTTTAGATTAGAGAGGGGTTCTCCATGTAAATTTGCATAAACATATTGTTATTGCATTTCTTTCTAAATCCATTTTCAAATATCCATTTCCTGGGAAAATATTAAAAGGCTAGAGACATTATTGATATTTTTGCCAGGTGATTTTGCTTTTTTTTTTTTTTTAATGCTTGTCACCTCAAATCTAGTAAAAGGAATAGTTTGTACCTGGTTCATTTGACCAATGTAACATGTAGCCCTGGAGTATGAGGTAACTTGGCAGGCCATGAACAGACCTGTGCCAAAGCCCTACCAAGAGTCCTTTTGGAGCTGGAGTTTGGGAATCACAGATGGCTGTGAATGGCAGTGAAGGCGAGAGGAATTATTGAGTGACAGGATCTGGCCTCACTGTCTGCCTTGGTTTTGCTAAAGTGGTTACTGGGGAAAGATGTGATAGGAAGGGGAACTGGCGCTATCCCTGGCATTTCCCCTTTTTGCACCTATTTAAGGAGCCTCTCCTCCTACATACCTTCCGGTCCTTGTCTAGGGAAATTCCCTAACTCCGCCCAAGCTGAGCATGCCTTGGTTGCAGATGCTGTGTGGACAAGAAGTGGGAAACAATGTCTTATGACGGCCCCTCAGTTGAGCTCTGTGTCCACTATGCGATCAAGGGTGGGGATCAGGACTCTATAATTTCCTTTTGTTCCTCTGGGTAGCAATATCAGAGGACAATATTGGTCCTAAGAAGATTCTGATATTTGGCCCTTTCTTCATTCAGGACAATCTGGAGCTCCCACACTGTTCTAGTCAGGAGGAAGCAGCAGCCAGGGGAGATGGCAGCAGTCCGAAGAACCCAGCTAAGGTGAAGGGGGATGGTCAGCAGCACCATGTGAAAGACCAAGAGGAAGAGGAGGGGAAGCAGGTTGCTGCCTCTCCAGAAGCTGCTTCCAGCAAGACTGGAAAATGCCAGGGAAAGAAAAGGAAATATTGCCAAAGTGATGTCCAAGATGACACAGGGATGTCTAATAAAGCCTCCAAGCAAGGTACTGGCTCTACACAGGGAGAAGGTAGCTGGGAGGAGATGCCTGGGCTCACCAATATATACAAGTTACTTAACTCTGTCTGGGGGCTCCTTAGGCTCTGGGTGTGTGGCCCTGCTGTGGCATTTACTAGCTGTGTGACCTCAGAGATTGCTATGAGGCTTCTGTGAGATCATGCACAATGCCTAGCACACTATAATAAGTGTTCAATACTAATTATTAATATAATGGAAAGCCAAGGCATCAGATCAAGCACAGTATCAACTAATGACATTCCATACCCATGAGGGTGCCACTTTCTTCCAGGCCAACCTCTCACTATCCCCATCCCCATTCTAGGAATGCAGGATGAGGGAAGTGAGATCAGGCCTCACCCTGATCATTCCCAGCTGTGTTCCCATAGGTAGGCATGTGAAAAGCAGCAGCTGTGGCTTGCTATCTTACCAAGAGAGGTTGGCAGTGCCAAGATTCAGTTTTAGCTTTGAAGGCCTGGCTCAGTCCATTGAGTTGCTTTAGCTTCTGCTGTTGAAAGAGGTGCCTGATGCATTTGAATGAAGTCCCCCAGGGCTCCTGGGCATTTCTTGACCTGCATTTCTCTTTCTGTGGGGGGCTGCTGGAAACCTCTGAGAGCCTACTTTGGAGTATTCCATTCTTAACTGCTCAGGTGTCCAGTAAATCAGCTTTCTGAGAGGTGGTGAGAGTGGCAAACTGAAAAACGCATTGGCTTCTTTGGCCTCAGAAGTACTATCAAGGAAACCAGGGTAGCTCCAGCGCTGACTTCTTGCTTTCTAACTCGCAGATCCTCCCACTGATCAGGGGGCCACACCTGCTCTCAGTTTACCACTTGCATCCTTCGACGCATCTGACCTTGAATGCGCTCTATGTATGAGGTACGTCCTGTGTACTGTCATTGACCGCCCGATGTTTCTTCATCTCTGGTGTCTGAACCTTTCTGCTAGTGACCTACTGCTGGGTTAGTTAGCATGCAAAAAGCATAGCTCTAACGGAATGGAAATCACAACATGGTGAAACCCTGTCTTTACTAAAAACACAAAACTTAGCCAAGTGTGGTGGCACAGGCCTGTAATCCCAGCTACTTGGGAGGCTGAGGCATGTGAATCGCTTGAACTGGGGAGGCAGAGGTTGCAGTGAACAGAGATCACACCACTGCACTCCAGCCTCTCCAAAAAATAAAAAAAAAAAAGACATATTCAGACATATTAAGCCCAGTGGGCCATCGGTTTGTGACCTGTGAATAGATGATTCCCTTCCCACTCTCTAGGTTTTTCCAAGTCAGGAGTCAGGAATGCAGGTAATGCAGTCTGTGGGCAGGGGACACAAGCTGACCCAAGTGACAATCAACGTTCCCTATTCTTGGGAAGCCACGTGGTGGGGCTGACTGGCTTTTGTTTTGTGTTGTGCCATGAATATTAGTAGTGGGCCTGAGATACTTAGCCAGGTATCTCCCTGCCAACAAGTGCCACATCATCTCTGTTTAGTCAGATCTCTGGAGAGGCAAATTATCCACATGCTCCCCTACCCCAAAAGAAAGATGCTATGATTATGGTGTGTGTAACCATATACAATTTTTTTTTTTGAGATGGAGTTTTGCTCTTGTTGACCAGGCTAGAGTGCAATGGCACGATCTCGGCTTACCACAACTTCCGCTTCCCGGGTTCAAGCAATTCTCCTGCCTCAGCCTCCCAAGTAGCTGGGATTACAAGCACCCACCACCATACCTGGCTAATTTTTTGTATTTTTAGTAGAGATGGGGTTTCTCCATGTTGGTCAGGCTGGCCTTGAAATCCTGACTTCAGGTGATCCACCCGCCTTGGCCTCCCAAAGTGCTGGGATTACAGGTTTGAGCCACCGCACCTGGTCTTATTTTTTTTTTTTTTTTTGAGACGGAGTCTCGCTCTGTCACCCAGGCTAGAGTGCAGTGGCGTGATCTCGGCTCAGTGCAACCTCTGCCTCCTGGGTTCAAGTGATTCTCCTGCCTCAACCTCCCGAGTAGCTGAGACTACAGGCGCATGCCACCACACCTGGCTAATTTTTTTATATTTTTAGTAAAGATGGGGTTTCACCCCAGGATGGTCTCGATCTCCTGACCTTGTGATCCACCCACCTTGGCCTCCCAAAGTGCTGGGATTATAGGCATGAGCCACCGTGCCCAGCCTATAATTTTTAAAAATTGCTTACATATGTTTGATTTCACAGCTGTAACTTAGTGGCTAAGAGGAGAGGCTCCCTGGCTTTACTAGCTGTTTGACCTGGAGAGAGTGACATTCTCTGCTACTGTTTTCTTGTCAGTAAAATAGAGAACAGTTGTACCTAACTCCATGGGGTTTTCATGATTAATTGAGAAAAGTGTATTTAACACCTGGAATAGTGCCTGGCATGTAATAGATACTCAGTAAATGTTAACTGTTTTTTTTCCTTCTAGACCAGAGATCAAGAAGGAAACTTTAGGTCTATGGACCTCTGAGGAGGTTCTATGTATGGATTCTAATAGATGTATGAATGCCCCAAAGTTGCATGTTAAAGTGTGTGGGTTTTCCAGGACAAGTTCCACATCCTTCAGCAGATTCACAAATGTGTCTGTTTTCCAAAAGAGCATTAAAAGGAGGCTGAGATATTTGCACAGAAATTAAGATGGTTGTCGCTGTTGGTTGCACTGGCGGGTCCTGCGGGCTGTGGAGCTTCCAGATCAACTACAAGAACAAACCAGCAATCCTGAGAGGACCCACAGTCCCTCTGAAGGAAGCGGGTTGCTTCTGCATGACCCAGGGGACACCCCAAATACTCTGGGAGGCAAATAGCCTCGGGCAAGTTCTCAAGCCTGTCTCAGCCTCCACCTGGAAACAGACCCAGAGCTGTTGGACAGGGCATGGTGGGAGTAAGACTGGTCCTTTGGTTTGTGTAGGAACTGGGTGAGGCCTGTGACTGCTGTATTTCCCTAACTTCCCTGACAACCTGCATGACTCAGCAAAGGTAGCCATAATCCTCCTAGGGACACAGCTCCAGTGACCTGGGAATCTCACCGCCATCCCCCACAGCAGCTGCAGCAAGACTTGCCCAAAGAGAGTCTGGGCTCAGACATACCTAGCCCTGCCCCTACCTGATGATCCTTCCCTACCCACCCTGGTAATGGAAGACAAAGGGCATGTAATCTTGAGAGTTCTAAGGCCCCACCCATGCTTTGTCCCTCTCCACATTACTACAGCTAATGCTTTCTGGAAAGCTCACCTCCTGGCAGGAGGCCAACCAGCAGAAAAATAGAGCATTAAACCACCAAAGCTAAGGACCCTCACATTGCACCCTCTGCCACCTCCACCAGAACAGGTGCTGATACCCACTGCGGAGAGACCCATAGATGGTTCATATCACAGGACTCTGTGCAGACAGCCCCCAGTACCAGCCCAGAGCCGGGTAGCCTTTATTGGTGGCTAGACCCAGAAGAGAGAGAACAGTCACTGCAGTTTGGCTCACAGGAAGCCACATCCGTGAGAAAAAGGGGATTGAGTACTACATCAAGGGAACACCTCATGGGACAAAAGAATCTGAACAACAGCCTTCAGCCCTAGACCTTCCCTCAACAGCCTTCAGCCCTAGACCTTTCCTCTGACAGAGCCTACTCAAATGAGAAGGAACCAGAAAACCAACCCTGATAATATGACAAAACAAGGCTCTTCAACACCTTCAAAAAAATCACACTAGTTCACCAGCAATGGATCCAAACCAAGAAGAAATCCTGATTTGCCTGAAAAAGCATTCGGGAGGTTAGTTATTAAGCTAATCAGGGAGAGACCAGAGAAAGGCAAAGCCCAATGCAAGGAAATCCAAAAACTGGTATAAGAAGTGAAGGGGGAAATATTCATGGAAATAGATAGCTTAAAGAAAAAGCAATAAAATATTCAGGAAACTCTGGACACACTTTTAGAAATGTGAAATGCTCTGTGAAATCACAGCAATAGAATTGAACAAGTAGAAGAAAGAAATTCAGAGCTTGAAGACAAGGTCTTCAAATTAACCCAATCCAACAAAGACAAAAAGAGTAAGAAAATATGAACAAAGCCTCCAAGAAACCTGGGATTATGTTAAATGACCAAATCTAAGAATAATCAGTGTACCTGTGGAAGAAGAAAATTCTAAAAGCCTGGAAAATATATTTGGGGGAATAATTGAGGAAAACTTCCCTGACATTGTGAGAGACCTAGATATCCAAATACAAGAAGCAAAAAGAACACCTGGGAAATTCATTACAAGAAGATCCTTGCCTAGGTACATTGTCATCAGGTTATCCAAAGTTAAGATGAAGGAAAGAATCTTAAGAGCTGTGAGACAGAAGCACCAGGTAATCTTCAAAGGAAAACCTCTCAGATTAACAGCAGATTTCTCAGCAGAAACCTTAAAAGCTAGAAGGGACTGGGGACCTATCTTCAGCCTCCTCAAACAAAACAATTACCAGCCAAGAATTTTGTATCCAGTGAAATTAAGCATCACTTATGAAGGAAAGATAGTCATTTTCAGACGAACAAATGCTGAGAGAATTCAGCATTACCAAGCTACCACTACAAGAACTGCTAAAAGGAGCTCTAAATCTTGAAACAAATCCTGGAGACACATCAAAACAGAACCCTCGTTAAAGCATAAATCACATAGGACCTAGAAAACAAAAATACAAATAAAAAATCAAAAACAAAAAACAAAGTACATAGGCAACAAAGAGCATGATGAATGCAATGGTACCTCACATTTCAGTACTAACATTGAATGTAAATGTCCTAAATGCTCCACTTAAAAATACAGAACATCAGAATGGATAAGAACTCACTAACCATCTGCTGCCTTCAGGAGACTCACCTAACACATAAAGACTCACACATAAACTTGAAGTAAAGGGGTGGAAAAAGGCATTTCATGCAAATGATCACCAAAAGCAAGTAGGGGTAGCTATTTTTATATCAGACAAAATAAACTTTAAAGCAACAGCAGTTAAAATAGACAAAGAGGGACACAGTATATAATGGTAAAAGGCCTTGTCCAACAGAAAAGTATCACAATCAATCCTAAACATATATGCACCTAACACTGGAGCTCCCACATTTATAAAACAATTACTAATGGACCTAAGAAATGAGATAGTCAGTAATACAATAATAGTGGGGGACTTCAGTACTCCACTGACAGCACGAGATAGGTCATCAAGACAGAAAGTCAACAAAGAAACAATGGATTTAAACTATGACTTGGAACAGATGGACTTAACATGTACATACAGAATATTTCATCCAACAGCCATAGAATATATACATTCTATTCAACGGCGCATGGAGCTTTCTCTAAGATAGACTATATGAGAAGCCATAAAGCGAGCCTCAATAAATTTAAGAAAACTGAAATTATATCAAGCATTCTCTGAGACGACAGTGGAATAAAACTGGAAATCAACTCTAAAAGGAACCTTCAAAACCATGCGAATACTTGGAAATTAAATAACCTGCTCCTAAATGAGCATTGGGTCAAAAACAAAATCAAGATGGAAATTAAAAAATTCTTCAAACTAAATGACAATAATGACACAACCTATCAAAGCCTCTGGGATATAGCAAAGGCAGTGCTAAGAGGACAGGTATAGCTCTAAGCACCTACAGTACATCAAAAAGTCTGAAAGAGCACAAACCAACAATCTAAGGTTCCTCAAGGAACTAGAGAAACAAGAACAAACCAAATCCAAACCCAGCAGAAGAAAGGAAATAACCAAGATCAGAGCAGAACTAAATTAAATAGAAACAACAACAAGAAAATACAAAAGATAAACAAAAAGCCAGTTATTTGAAAAGATAAATAAAATTGATAGACCATTAGCAAGATTCACCAAGGAAAGAAG